ACCTCTCTGTCATCCTTTTCTTATCCAGAAAATAGTGAAAAAAAACTGTGTCTTGCTCCTGAAGATGTTCTGCAGGATTCACTGTGCTAATTTGTTGAGGTAGATGAATTATTCACAATCTTGTCAAGAAATGTCAGGGCCATTGTCTGTCCCTCTCAGTCCATGTGGCTACATCTTGATTTGTAGTTCTAATCCTCTCAAGTTTGCATTAATGTTGTTTCTTCTTTTAGGCTCCTCTTCTTCTTCTAGTTGGGCTAACTTATTATTTCCAGACTGATGTGGCAGTTCTTTTATAATGAGTCATATCTCCCCAGACCCCAAGCCTCACTGCAAGCTCCCTCTGGCACCATCTGTGACATGTCTGTCAACAAACTCACATCTTCTCCCTGGTTCAGTTCCCTCAGATACACACAGTACTCTTCACTCCAGACCCCATGTCTCCCTCCACCTTGAGAGACACGCCTGTCAACACCAACCAACTCCTCCCACCAGTCAGGCTTTACTTTTTCCCTCACTGCTAACCCTTCTTGAATTCTACTTCCACAGCACATGTGTACTAGTGAAATGAAGAGAACAAAGATTCTGGTTCAGGCCCCTTTTATAAAAATCATGCTTCAGGCCCAAAACAAATTATCAGAGTGAAAATGGCTAGGCAAAATTTATTACAAAGGCTGATTAGCAATGACTGATGAAAACTGTGTTTGCCAGATTGACATATGCTACCTGTATATGTTGTTTGAATATCTGCCTTTGTAACTAAGCAACATTCATGAATGTTTGTAGACTATCTAGCTTTCTGTTCCTTTCATTATTGAATAGTAATAATAGCTATTATTAGCCTTATACTCAAGAGTTCTACTTCTTAGTAATTAAAAGTAGAAGACCCTCAACCTCAGGCACAGTCACTTTTCAACTCTATTTTAACAAAACATTGCCATTTCCCTATAAGAGGTAATACAGCACAGTGGCTAAGTGTGCAGACCCATCAGATTGTCTGATTTCAAATCCCAATTCTGTTCACTAGTTGGCAAATCACCTAACTTCTCTGTATCACACTTTTCTTAACCATAAAATGGTGACATAACCACATCTACCTCCTGAAGATGGCTTTGCAGAATTCATTGTGCTAATATCTGTAATGTCTTTAAAGCAGCACTTGGCAAATGGCACCTTGCAAAAATCTGTCATTATTAGCAGGCATGAGTCTTTTAATTTTATCCTTCCTGGAGGGCAGGTGGACACAGCTCCATTTTTTGCATATTAGAATTAAGGTTGCAGCCGCATGGAGAGGGTGCTAAGCTCTGATTTGATTTCTGGCTGGGTACACATGCTGCCACTGTGTGCACTAGAGCTGTGACAATGAAGCCACTTCTTCCTCTGGGCTCCAGATGCATAATGGAAACCCTCATTCAAAGACCCTACACTGCAAAGTATTGTTAAGATAAGAATCTTTCTATTCAAAGCAGGCTTTCAGAAGAGAAGAACAGACCTTCAATTTAATTTCAGGCCAGTTGAATAACAGAGGGTTTTTCTCTTTCACCCTGGCAGAAAATATGTTGTGCTTACTCTTCATTCACAATCCTTGGGCAAGAAAAACATCAAGGTACAAAGAAAGTTTTCTTCCCTCTGTCACATTCTGTTAATATGGACACAGCCAGAGAATTCTTTGAACACTATGAATTTATGCAGCACACCTTCCTGCAATGGAATCTGTCATTTCTCAGATTATTACTGAATTTAGACACACAGAGTTTTCATCAAGAAGGGTAAAAGACAGCAAGATACAGAAAGGCCAAGGGCTGTTTCAAGGTCATGGACAGCAAGACAATGGTGAAACACAGAAGCAGAGAACCACCTCTTGGGGCCAGACACTGTCCTCCAAGTCACCAACTGCATTTTTGATTACCTGCACAGGTAAGAATGATCTAGATATTTGTAAGGGCAGGTCAAAGACGAAACAGGTTTGCATTAAATACTTAATTGCTACAAAGTACGCAGGCCTTGGCATTGCTCAGTCAGTACCAAGTTGAGTTGTGTTTTCATTCCCTGTGGGGGGTGGGGGAAGTACCCAGTGACATGATCTACGGCCATAGCAACTACCTGCAGCGCTGTTCTCCCTCTCAAAGGAGTCTACTCCCAGGGGGCAGAATGCACCTTCTCACAGTGAGGACCAGCCACCAGGGAAGAGCTGAAACTCACAAGATAAAGCTGTGGAGTATTTTAAAACTATATTTTTCCCATTACTGGAGGAAGGGAGTAATATGAAATTACACTTGTATTAAATCAAAACCAAGTTGAAACCATATTAAACTCGTTAAAGTTTCCAAAAATCACTTACCAATGTAAATGTGATAGGCTCTAGAATAGAATGCCCACCCCACCTGTACTTATCACTGCTATTTTCTTCACCTTTTAGTCTCATTGAGAACAGCCACATGTGGCAAATAGTCACAAATATCTGAGTTAATTCCCACTCCACTCCTTTAGTACAGTGGGGCCTTTGGCAGGTCTTTAAATCTCTCTGAAGCTGTTTCCTCTTCTTGGAAAGGAACAGGTTATCATTTATCCTTTCTATTAAAAATTGCCAAGGAAATAAATCAGGGAAGAGATGAAATGTTAGTAAGCTCAAAATAGAAGCAGGTACTTAACATCTGGGGAAACAGCAGTGGTGCTGGGCTTATAAAAACAAAGGTAGGGCCCTCCCTGGAAGCACAGCGGGTTAAAGCACAGCACTAAGAAGCTAAAGCCACTTCTGCATGAGTTCGATCCCCGCCCCAGAGTTGACCCACATGGTGCGGCAGACCTCTCCTGACCCTCCCGCTGCTCCCCTCAGCAGTGCATTTCACCAGTCAGTCTGTTCTGCTCCCCACTCTGTCTCTGGTGAATCCTCTCACCGCTCCTGCACCTCTGGCCTGTACCCCAGATCTGTATACATAAATAAATCTTTAAAATAACAAAAAACAAAACAAAGGTGGTCTGACCTCATATATTAGCTGAGCCTTCCGTGACACTGTTTCCCTACACAACCACACACAGCACGGTGTGCAAGGTGTGCAGAGTTCCAAAGGGCTGTTTTCACACAATGGTAGGTGAATGCTAAACTACTGGATATAAATATGCACTGTGTGTGCACACATCCATATGCATTTGTGGGTGTTGGGGGGAGAGCTGTGTATATAGGTACAGTACACATGGGTAGGGCATAAGTATGAGGATGTGTACATGCATGCATTCACCTGATGGAATTAGACAGAAACTTGAATAATGTCTGCAAACTCTGATCCCAAATATCTGAGTCTGATAAAAAGCAACAAAAAAGAAAAGAACAGAAAGTCAAAGAACACTAACTTTCTTTCAAGTCTACTATTCAGCCTCCCGTACTTAGCAAATCAGCTGCATAAATGTGACACTGCTTGAAACATCTGGATGACCTTTTTACCTTTTTCTGTTGAAAACATCCTTGATTTTTCATTATTTTTATTTCCTGGGCTCTTAAATCTAGCTAGGGATCCTTCTCCTTCCATTTGCCCCTGAGACACCACACCAGAAGTTTTTATGTCTTGCAAATTCATTGCATCTCTGTGAACACTTGTGGATAAGCTAAGCGCTGGTTCTGTCTATGTCAGCAGAATCAGAGACACCTTTTATTAAAAACTCTTTACTAGAATTGGTTCAGTGTGGCATGTTACCGGCTGGTGATTCAGCATGTCCCCGAGGCTTACAAAGCTCTGCACCGACAGCCTCAATTTGTGTGTTTGTTTAGGTTCATTTAGTCTTTAACTGTGAGGGGCTACTTAGAGTTAAACAATTCTAGGCTGGGGATGACCATGTCCCCCGGCAGTGGAACAATCTCTTTTGTATTTGCTGCCAATTTGAGTCAAATCTGCACTGACTGTATTATCAGAGGGTTTCTAGCCAATTTTGTTATTGGGTAATGAAGGTCACCTACCAGTGCAATGTTGCAAGAGCAACAACAGACTGGGAATATGTGGGTTTCTGCCTGCATAACATCAGTCACTTCTCCCTCCCCTAGCATCTCTGTGTAGGTGACCTCAAATGACTTTCACCTCCACTGGTGGACACCTCCTTCCTGAGGCACTGCCTACCGGAGGCATCACTAGTCTTTGATAAGTGAACACAGACCCAGTCGGGGTTGGAGTCACCCTTCTGATGAGCCCAGTGCCTCAGGGTGGAGGTGTCTTCCAGTAGAGGCAGGAGGCCCCTCGAATGTCATGGTTTTGCGGTAGAGGCAGGAAAGTTGTATCAGAGCAGAGAAGGAGAAGTAGCAAACTAAACCTGGGACGGGGTCCAGATGGGGACTGTTATTCCCAAGGATGAAGGTCCTTCATGTATACAAAACTATAATGTCTGGGGAACAAGGGTACACTTCAACATTTTTTGGGGATTGACTGTAAAAGGCACTTATGCTTCTTGAATTTCTACCTGATGGCAACATCCCCTTCACGCTACACCAAATCACCTACCGTGTTTGTGAATGAATGCGAGTCCTTGCAATATCTGGTACATGATATTCCTTATAGCAGACTCAGGAAACAACTTATTTCTGCATGAGACAGAGGGGAAAATGTTATACATCTATGTTTACATATTAAAACAAATCTGCAGTTCTCATGTGCTTTTGTTGAAATAACAAGAATCTTAAAAAACATTCCCCACATGCTAATTTGACTAGACCCACTGGTGATAAAGACCACGTAAACCAACACTTCTGTATCTAAGAGAGCTACCTCATGACACCAAATACCTTTAATTATGTCACAAAGGAGAAAAGAGTCAACATTTTAGAGTAAATTCCCTCTATAGAGCATATAAATATCCCCTCTCCATGTAAATTTAAACTTCAAAAAGTTTAATGGGGAAAATGTGAGGCCTTCCCAATAAAGACCTCATGAAATGCAGTACAGGGTACTGTTTTTACCCTGGTTGAGCAAACCACCTCATGAAATGCAGTACAGGATACTATTTTTTACCCTGGTCGAGCAAACCACCTAAGGTCCCTGCAGTTCTTGACAATGAAGATGATATCTGTTCACTAAAATCACTCACAGGGATTCTGGGAATGGTTTTCATCTGTCACCAAGAGCTGAGGGGGTGTGATGCTACGCCTCTTAATGAAGCACAATATAACCAATGTTACTTCAATTAATAAAAGAAAATGTGCCCAAGAGGCCCTACATGATTCACTTTTAAGGTTCAAAGTTACAGTAGCAGGCAAGTTTTAAGACATCTCTTCCAAGCATGTAAGCCTCAGGCACTATAGTAAGATGAACTAAATTAAAGTTGCCAAGTGTCTGTTATGTTGCTAAGCTTCTTTGGGTGAGCTGCCCATGAAACATGAAGATGGCTGTATTAAAGCAGCTTCCATGAGGCTATCCCAAGGTCTCTGAAGGGGAAATGAGGGTTGTGGGTTTCCTCTCTCTGCAAGTATAAACAGTGAAGCGTAAGCAGCATGACTATGATAAGCAAAGGCAAAGAGAAAACTCATCTATTTTGCAATATTTATTTCTAAGAGCATAATGGCCAAACTGTACCTTTCTTTAATGAGCTGGTAAAGATTTTCCTTCATATACTCAAAGATAAAATAAAGATGATCATTTTCCCTGATAACTTCTTTTAATTTGATTATGTTGGCATGGTTGAGCTTCTTTAAAGACTGCAAAGGGAGAAAAACACACGCAAACAGTTGGAGAAAAGTCACTGATGAAAAAGAAGTTATCTTATAGAAGGCAGCTGCCTTGGGCTGAGATCACCAGCCAACATTTGTCAACACTTTGAAAGGAAGTTGTTCAAAATAAGGAAAATTGATAGTCTGATTCATTGTATCCCCACAAACATAGTGCTCCTTATCCTCTGCATTTTAGAGAAGAGGGGAAACATTAATTGGAAAGACCCTGAAGTAAAATAGAAGAAATTCCTCAGCTTTTGAGAACAAGAAAAAAAATGTCAAAAAAAAAAAAAAAAGAAAAGTCAGATGGGGCAAGGAATAAGAGAGCAGAAGATGGTAAACTACCTACTGATTATTCCTTCTGGTGTATGTACAGCTCTGTCAATGGTGAGCAAACATACTTTTGTGTTACCGGGCAGCAATCTAGTTCACGTATGACAGCCAGAGACATCAGCTGCTGATCTGCTTACCACACAATCAGAATTTGATAGAGTATCTCTTTCAAGGAAGCCTCAAAGGGTCACTCTGGCCAACAGAATGAGCCCTTTAATTAAAAAATCCTTTTCCTCACAAAACTGAGTCTGATAAAAGTAAACTGTAAAGCCCTCTTCTCTTTGAATTTCTTTAAATAAAAAAACAACAAAACAGGCCATTTAAAAAGCAAATAGTAGGTCTAAAGATGAAAATGTTGAAATGAATTTCCAAATCTGGAAGGATATTTAGTAATAAGACACCCGAGGGGGTCAGAATTAAGCAGTGTGTAATATGATCAAGTTGCTTTGAGCAGCTGGGAAAAGTGAAGAAATAAGATTCAGTGAGTGAGAATAAGATAAATCATCTGAAGGTCTTCCCTCAAGGGCACGCTCCTGCCAAGAAGCCCCTCAGGCAGAAGTCCTCAGCTGTTTTGGTCAACTTGGCTAGATCCTGCTAGAATGACCCAACCAGACTCATGACTTCTTCTAGTTGGACTGGGTTCCTGATTCTCCAGAGTAACAAACACAAACATTGCTTAACTTGTAAGTATTCACCAGACTCATATGGACTGAAACATCCTTCTTACTTGTTTGCTTAAAGTGCACCGCAAGCAATGTCCAGTGAATGAGCAACAGAATGAATGGGTAAAATTCATTCAGAGGAAAATGAGCTGGGTTTTTGAAGCTTTTCAGGAAGAGAATTATAGGCAAGGAGTAGGGTGGGTACCTTTGCATGAATTCATTACCCCTGAATTACTGGCCCAAGAGTGACTCACAGTGTTATTTCAAAGAAAGCCTTATGGACAAGTTAAAGTCCATCGTAGTTTAATATTTAAAAGAATTGTTTTTGTATAGAGGATTTCATGTGATTCATATTACAGAGGTCAGTGTCCAGAGATAAGGCATCTTACATTAACTTATGAAAGGTTTCCTAAAGAAAGAAGAGGCAGGACAACTGTATCAAAGCAGAGCAGCAGAAGCAGCAAACTAAACACAGGATAAGGGTCCAGATGGGGACTGTATCTCCAGGGGTGAAGGTTCTTAATTATTAACAAAACCATAAAATCTGGGGTGCAAGGATATTCTGGGATTAAGTATCTTAAAGAGGCAGACAATCTAATTGGAAAGTGAGGATGTGAACAGATCTTGGATAGGAAGATAGTATTAAGTGCCAAAGGAATGATGGAGCCAAGGAACATGAGAGATGTTTTTGTTTTTTTTTTTAAAGATTTATTTATTTATGCATACAAGAACTGGGTGTAGGCTAGACATATTGGGGGGTGAGAGGATTTATCAGAGACAGAGTAGGGAGCAGAACAGGCAGATCTACTGAAATACACTGCTGAGGGGAGCAGCGGGTGAGATTGAGGTGGTCTGCTGCACCATGTGGGTCACCTCTCTGGCTGGAGATAGAACTCATGTTGCTGTGGCTGCTGAAAGCCTGATAGAGGTCTTTGATCCCTGTGCCACCAGGGAGGCCCCCATGAGAGATGTTTTGAAAGGGGGTAATGGGCAAAGCCTGAGTGATTGGTGAGAGTATCATCTGAAATGTGACTTGAAGAGAGAATAACACCTGCATGCTGAGCGGGAGGAAGTATGTCAGGAAGGAAGTCCTTTCCCCCTTCAGTGGGAGGGGCATGGGAATGCAGTGGGAACTCTGTGTCTGAGGAATAAAAATCACCCCGGATTGGTTCTGAAGGAAAAATATCTGGAAGCCTTTAACTGGAGAAGTGGGCAGGGAGGACACTGAGGGATGCCATGATAATACCCACTGAAGAGTTCTGACAAACCCGAGTGTGAAATCAAGTTTTGCTGCTTAGAGTTGTGTTTGCCTCAAGCAAGGTGCTAGTCTCTGAGCTTCAACTGTACTTATAATAAGCTCCTGATACTAATACTTTCTTGTTGCCTGGTCTGTAATAGGTCTCCACAAATGGTGGTTAGTGTGTGAACAGCTGTGGAGTGCTGTGGAGCTCTTTCTACCAGCAGTGCACACGAGAATATGTGAGAATATATGAGAAGTGGGGTCAGAATGCAGGAAGCTGTAATTTCTGGATGAATGGGTAAATAATAATATCTAGAGAGGATTGAAAATATGAGCACTGGGAAAGGCAGACATAAAATGCAAGCACCCATGGCCACTAAGTTAGCTATGTCAGCCTGGACCAGCAGTCAGCAAACTTTTCTATAAAGGGGCAGAGAATAAGTATTTTAGGCTTTGTAGGTTATAGGTCTTATTGCACTTACTCAACTTTGCCATTGTAGTATGAAATCAGTGACAGGCAATATGTAAGCAAGTTGATGACTGATCCAAAAATATTTTCTTTCTAAAAACAGAAAATGTGGGCTCTCCCTGGTGGCGTAATGGATTAAAGCACCACATTATGAAGCTCTCTGAAGCCACTGTAGCATGAGTTCGATCCTCGGCCAGGGAGCTGACCCACATGGCATGGCAGACCTCTCCTTACCTGACGGCTGCTCCCTTCAGCAGTGTACTTTGTCAATCTGCCTGTTTTGCTCCCCTCTCTGTCTCTGGTGAATCCTCTCACCCACCACCCCTCTGGCCTGTATCCCAGTTCTGTAAGCATAAATAAATAAATCTTTAAAAAAAAAATAGAAAATGCACTGTGTTCCTAATCCAGAGTAGAAAAAAGAGACTTGATGAGACTATTTAAGCGTGGGAAATGAATAAAATCAGTCAGGGAAAAAAGTCAGGGCAAAGGAAAAAAACTGTTAAAAATAGTATGTGAGAAATGATCAATATTTCCGGTAGAACATAGAACAACGGTGAAAAACAAGGAAGAAGTAGGGCAGGCAATAGCATAAGCCTTGGGAGAGGAGCAGAAGAAGTGATCAACAGCACCCAACACTGCAGGCAAGAAAATGCTGAGAAAATAACCCTGGACGTGGCCACTGGTGATTTTGAGGACAGCTTGGCTTCGTTGCTGAGGGAGCTGCCTAACTCAGTTAGATGGAAAGTCAATGGTAGGTGGGGTACAAGGGTGAAGGGAGATGTTTGGAAGTTAAATGGTGGACGTTCAAGGAGAGAGAGAGGTGAGATTTTCTGGGAGTTGAGAGATTGGTGGGCACTTCTATATGCCGAAAGGAACCAGTGGAAAGGAAGAGTTTAAAGACCCATGGATGAATAGAAATGTGTTCTCCACCTACAATGGAGCATGATTCAGTCTTAAGAGAAAGGACATTCTACAGGCACTACAGTATGGGTGAATCTGAAGGACATTATGCCAAGTGAAATACAAGACAAAAAGACAAACTGAGCATGATTCCACTTATATGAAGTCCTTGGAGTGGTCAAACTCATAGACACACAATGAATGATGCATGTCAGGGGCTGTGGGAAGAGGTTAGTGCTTAGTGGGAACAGAGTTTCAGTTTTGCAAGATGAAAAGTCCTGGAAGTGGATGGTGATGATGGATGTACAAGGATATAAGGGTACTTAATACCGATTTGAAAGAAAAAGGATATTAGTTGGAAACTAGTGAGTTGCAAATGAACCTGTAGTTAATAGTACTATATCAATGTTTATAAAGCAAAGTATATTCACTGATATATTAACACAGCAATCTCATTTCAGCTATCAAGTACATAATATCATCATTTGCCCCGGTTTTTGGGCATTAGTGAAACATTTCAAATAGCGTGACTACATCAACTCTAAATCAAAGCATGTACAAAACTATCTTAATAACCATACATAAGTTATTCCCCAGTGTATTAATAAATACCTTCACCTCCCGAAGGTTCATGCATTCCTCCCAGGAATAAAACTTTCTTTTCATTCTAAAAGAGAAGAAACAAATACCATCCTTATTCCCAGGAACAGAACAAACTTGATTTTTGGTGTGTTTTCCTTCTGGACTAATGACTAGTGATTAAAGTTGGTTTTTATTTCTGCTAGTATTATACTAATCAAAACAACATTAATTTTAAATTCTGGCAGTACAATCAGTGGCATATTAGAAAATTTCCCTGCAGGGAAATTTCAGTGTAAATGGGCCTGAACTACTCTTTTTCTCCAGCACAAAGTTGCTCCTTGCTCTGGAGGGAAATTTCTCAGCCTTGTTTTTCTAGACCAGAGCTGCCCAGTAGAACTCTCTGTAGGTGGGAGGGCTGTGCTCCCCCATATGGTAACCACTAAACACATGTTCCTACTGAGCACCTGGAATATAGCTAATGCAACCGAGAAACAGACTTTTTATAAATCTAAATGCTACATATGGCTACTTGTTACCCTGCTGGATAGCAGAGCTGCAGACTCTGCAGTCACTGAGGTTGGAAAACTGTGGCCAGGGGCCAACTCTATGGCACCACCTGTTTTTGTACAACTCAGAATAGTGTCTACATATTAAATGGTTGGAGAAAACAATTCAAAAGAATAGTAGTTTGTGGTATGTGGAAATTCAAGTGTGTGTTCACAGACTTATTGGCACACTGCCACACTCATTTATTCATAGGCAGCTGATGGCTTCTTTCCATTTTACAACAGCAGAGCTGAGTTGTAGCCAGCATTCTGTACCCCCAAAGTCTAAACTATTCTCTGGTCCTTAGCTGAAAGGGTTTGGCAACCCCTGGCCTGGAGTCTAAGGGAGAGAAAGGGCAGCCTTTTAGCTAAGGAGAAATCCCAGTTTCACAGTTAAATTTTTCATCACAGTTCAGCAGCAGCATCTTATATGAATCTTATAGCAGCTTTGTGAAAGGGGCAGGTAAGGAAATGAAGACATACAAGTTACAGGATTTACCAACATTTCACTGCTGGCTCATAACAGACCAACTTTCACTTCACCTTGCTCTCAATTCTCTCTCCCATGTCACATTATCTTCTGGTTGAGTGACTAATCCCTTTATTTATACCCCAAATATTACTCAGCACCTCCTATAGGCAGGGACTTTGTCAGCACCGGTGACACAATGCTGAAGAGGTGTCCCGCAGGCAATCAATTATTTTCTGTGTTAAGTACTTGACAGAAAGGTAACTGGAATTATGAGATTGGACCTCAAAGTGATCGCATCTAGTCTGAGGTATCAAAGAACACTCCTGTAAGGAAATGGTATTTCTACAAAGTGCTGAAGGGTAAGTAGAATTTAGCCCCATGCAAAATGTAAATAGGAAATAGCATGTGAAGCCTTGGGGCAAAAAGGTATTTTGTGAGTTCAAGAAGTTAAAAGACCAGATGGCATTGAGAGAGTAGCAAGAAGAGATACTGTTCTGGCAAAAGAGAGGGACCAAATGATACACCAAGTAGGATCACCTTAAAGACTGGGGGTGGGGGAGTTGACCCTAACACTGGTAGGGAGACTTTGAAAACTTAGGGTTTTTCTAAGAGCAGAGCCTGAAGCAAAATTTGAATGCAGGCAATTTATTTGGGAAGTGATTCTAAAAGGTCAGCAGAAGGAGCAGGGAAACTGGGAACAGAGGTAGAAACCCACTAAACCCAGCCTTATCCAGGTGGGCAAGTGGGGTTCCTCATGATGGGATGTTTTATGAACCTGTGTTAAAGTATTGGTTGAAAGTAGTTTGTGTGGACCTGAGGTGGAATGCTGGTGCCAGGTACAGATCTGTAGCCACAGCACAGCACACTAAGATCAGGAAAACAGGGCCTAATGGGCAGCAGGGCACAATGTTTGTCATAAATAGCTTTAGACAGATAGATTTGCTTATCTAAAGAAATCCCTTTGGGATGGATGGATAGGGGAAATAACCAAAGCTAGGAGCACTTTAAAGGAAACTCTTCTCATGGTAGAGATGTTAAAATGGATTAAATGGAGAGCTAGTGCAAGAAGAATGAGTGAGAATATAAACAAGTAGGTGGATTGGACAGACATTCAATAGTTAGCATCTGCAGGACTATGTGTTAATAGTTGGGCATACAGAGGACAAGTAGATATAGAGATGTGGCAGACAGAATGTAAAATGGCCCCTAAAGCACTCCACCTCTTGGTATTCACAGCCTAGGATAACCCTCTCTTCTCCAATTTTTTGTGTCTACCAAGCAAATATAACAATTTGAGGGACTATCACATCTATGTCAAGTTCACCAGAGCACCAGGGAGGCCCTAAAATAATGTTTCTTCACTTGTTCATTGTACCTCACACTATGAGAACATATTTTGAAAAAGTACTAAATCTTAAAGTATTAAAGTGAGAGTGTGTTTAAGACCCTAAATGAAGTATTCCAGAGTCAACAATTACACCACCCATATAAACCAATGTCTAAGATTCTTCTCCATGCCTCAATCTACCCTCTCTTAGATATTTTTTTGAAGATGAGGAATGGTGAAGGTAAAATAAAAACTACATTGACAGTATGCGGTAGAGGGTGAATTCATGAGTGTGAAGGATAAAACTTACTTTTTAATGGCAATCAGTTCCCCAGACTCAATGCTTCTTCCCAGCAGGACGGAACCATAGGTTCCATCCCCAAGTTGCTTGATCGTTGTGTATCTATTCATGGTGTGCCTGCTCAGGCCGGACACTCATCTCAGGGCTGAGGGGGTTCAGTCCTGCAGCGGCAGCAGGCTTCCCCGGAGTGTAACCAGATTTTTCGATGGCAGCACCAGCACAAAGTATTGAGTAGAACGTTATTATCTCCCAAATACATATTTTCAAAGATCAGTCTTCTGCCTACAAAGAAAAAGGAGGAAAAGGATAAATACTAATTACATTTTGTGTTGATGTGTTTTCACAGCCTCACTTAGGGGTCAGCAGACTGTAACTCCCAGCCCAGTTGCAAACATCGAAACACAGGCACGCCCGCTTATCTACATGTCATCATCCTTGGTTGCTGTCCACGACAACAGCCGAGTCCAGAGTGGGAGTGTGTATGCTCTGAGGCCTAGAGTATTTCTTATTTGACCTGGAGAAATTTATTAACCTCTGGTCTAAATGTTCTTTTCCAGTTTTTGCTAAAGCTAGAGGTGATATTCTTAAAAGGAAAATTTCCAGACATTTGCTCAGAATGAATTAGCCACAATGCAATGCTTTTCTGTTGAGTAATCACTGTAGGTAAACCCTGCATAACTGTGGCTCATGAGGTATAAGAATCCACACTAAATAGGACTTTTTTGTGTAACAATGTCAATATACAAAGGCCCAGGCATACTGAAATTAAAGTTTGGAGGGAATTTACATATATCCCGTGAACTATTTGTGGCTAGGCATCAATAGTATTATTTTCATTCCTAGATATATGGAAGCTAAGCAAAAATTTAATGATTTCTTAAGGCCTGCATATTGAGTATACTCTCTGTCAGCTGTGTTTTTTGGATAATGTCACTGATTTTTTTTTTAATTTATAAAATTGAGCCTTTTGGTCTGTCTATAATAAATAAAAAGTGGTAATAACTTAAGTGATTGCAATTCCTTTATGCAAGTAGTAATAAAGCATAAATGTGTAAATAAGAACAATAAAGGCACTTATTTATATGGATATAACTGTCAAATGATCTGGAGAATCAAAAGATCCAGAAATGATTAAAAGTTCTGTCATTCTAAATCCAGTATAAGCAGCTTTTCTTTTCAGAAGAATTTCAGTCAGTAAGTGTAGAAGGAAGGAGGGAAATAAATTCACTATTAGGTAAATCTTGTCTTGTGATAGACAAGATTCATTGATGGATGCAAATATAAGTGGATGAAAAGGTAAGGAGAAAACAGAAATTCTAAGATTCATAAGACATGATTCCTATGTCAAAGTCCTCCACTTTATGATCATGACATTGTGAACTGTTTTGGAATCAAGTTCTATCTCAGTATAACAGAAAGTGCAACTGGCCAACACCATAAGCAATCTTTGGCTCCATGTTTGTTTTCCCCTCTGTTTCTACTTTTTCATATTTTATCTCTATTTTTTTATATGACATATATGATTTCTATATCATTCATAATTTCATTATCCAACAAATTAAAAACAAGGAGGCTTTGACAGAGATGATTTAACTCAACTAAGGTTTTGGACATAGGTGAACAACATGACCAGATTTGTATTTTGCAATTGAGTTCATCAGAAAATTTTTCTTAATGAACAACTAAAACTAACTGATTGTAATTTAAGCTTAATTCATACTTTGTTTCTTTGAAGCTATAAAGAAACTGTCTCACAAAAAACATGCAGTTATCATGAAGTTAGTAATCAAATGCATGTCTCTCAGCTCTCTTCTGCTTTAATTACACAATCTTTCCTCATAGGACCTATTTTCCATCCCTTTAATTATCTTTGGCATTCATCTCTGGAGCACCACACATTTCTCTTATCACTTTGATAAACTGTGGTGACCAAAACTTAATAATGACCTACATTCTAACAGTAAGTTCTCCCCCACTTTTTTGGGACTACCAATTCACATCTATTAATTATTAATCAAAGTCTTTCTTTGATAGTTAATGTTCTATTATCTCTTTATCCACTCATGTTGCATAATTGGAACAATGCTTTCCTACATCTTTGAGAACATATTTCTGAAAGAATTAAGAATTTTACCAAAATCAAGATTGAGTGGGTCATTCAACACATAATCACCATAATAATTTCTCCTTGTTACAGTTTGTCATGTTCTCATGGAACAAAATTCAGTTATTCTGGCAAGATTTAATTCTCACCATGCCATGGTAGTTACTTCATTTTCTTTTAAGATTTATTTATTTATGCATACAGAACTGGGGTACAGGCCAGAGGTGCAGAGGCAGTAAGAGGATTCTCCAGAGATAGTAGAGTGGACAGCAGAACAGGCAGATCGCTGAAGTATACTGCTGAGGGGATTAGTGAGGGAGACAGGAGAGGTCTGCTGTGCCATGTGGGTCACCTTTGGGGTGAACCTGCACTTGAGCAGCTGTGGCTTGCTTGCAGGACTGTGCTTTAACCACTGCACCACCAGGAAGGGCCTGCCATAGTAGTTACTTTTTAATCATTTGTTATCTCAGGTATAGAATGATTGTACACACCCATTTCTCATCAGGCATCAATGCTTGGAAGATGTATATAATTTTATTCAACTTTACTGGAATGCTTAGTACTATGTAAGGCTTTGGGGGCACATATGAATAAGATAAGAGTCCTACCTTTAACTAACTCACAATTGACCGCACATGAAAATTGTAGAAAGTACTATGACAGCAACCAACTCTTAGCAGAAGGAAGAGGCCTGATGACTCTTTAGAAAGAGGAAGTATTAAGGTATTGAAGAATGAGCAAGGTTTTACTATGCAATGAAGAGAGAGAAAGGAGCTATAGGGAAAGGGAAGTATATGCAAAAGGTTGATGGATGTAAGAGCTTGGTATGTTCACAAGAGAGCAAAAACCTAGAAATTTGTACTCTGACTGAACATTAGAATCACCAAAGAGACTTTCATCAACAACTGGTGCTCAGACCCCAATGCTTAAGTCAGAGGTGGAGACTGAGTGTTGGTATATTTGAAAACTCTCCCAGAGATAATCCTAATGGACAGGGCTAGGGTATGCAACCTAAGGTACACAGTAAGAAAATGTTGGGAAATGGCCAGAAATCTAAGGTGGAATCTAAAAGAGAAAGGGTATATTTGCCATGTAGGAGTCAGGTTTTTACCTTGCCGAGGGGTGTTCTCAAGAGGTTAAAGCAGGGAAATGACATAAGGAAGAATCCCCAAGAGACCAAATAGGTGAGTAAGACCAGAAGATACTACAGTATTCTGAGTTGAAATATATCTAAGGCCTGGACCAAGTGTATCTTTACTGTAGGAGGAGACAGTTTTCCAATAGGGAGTCAGTGTGTATGTGTTATTAGGCCTTGTGCAGAGGTACTGGGTTCTATTTTCTATGCTGCTGAATTTGAGATGTGTACAGACCTCTCATTGGAGATGCTCACTATGCAGCTATAAGTAGTTCTGAGGTCCTACTTTTGTACTCCAAAAGACAGTGGAGTTCTTATTAGTGCGCAGTATTCCAATGAGGCTAACACACAGCACAACTCTGGGTATTCCATACGCATAGAACATTGTGTGATGGTGCCCACTGGATTTTGCAATATGGCACCTGTGGGTGCAGAACAAAGGGCATGGCAGTCTCAACATACCCTTGAATTACTATTTAGCTTTGAATGACAGACATCAAGAAAGATTAAAGAACATAATGAGACACCTAAATACAAGCACTGGCATAATTGAAGAAAAACAGAACAAATGATGTGAAAGAGACTTAGGAAGTCATGGTAATTATTTCAATTATACAAAGGGGAAAAGAGAGAAAGATTAGTAACATATATAATTACCCTATGTAGAGAACCAGAGAAAAGAAGCATAATTTCTACCTGAGTTTTCTATTCGCTGTGCCAGTGAATTATTTTCTATACTAAAAATAATGAAGTGGCTTTATTCAACTTAGCCTTAGGTAAGAAGTGTCATTCAACCAATAGCCAGTTCTGCACATAACAGCAGGAAATGGTTAAATATCTTTGACATTAATATTGCTAGTTGATCATCACATTTGTGGGCATAAATATGACTCATATCTTAATCTGAAACTAAATAACAAAAACTGTTTTCTGCTGAGGGCAAAAACAGGGTGATATACTAGGCACCACATAAAAGAAAGTATAGATAGCAGATGTACCCAACAGCAATGCTGCCCTTATTACTTAACTTGCAGAACACTGATTTTATTTAGAATTCAACATAACCAGGGAAGACATCTACCTACTATCGCTCCAGGGCATGAACACTGGTCAGTCTGAGCCAAGGCAAACAATTCCACTTTTCACTAGAGATTACTTAGGAATTTGACTTATTGAGCTTTGACTAATGAGATGGAAAGTGAGTTGGTGAGGGAATAAAAGGATTCTGAAAGGAATTTACTCCATGTAAAGATAGTTAACAAAAGATGAGTTTCCCTGCCTTTCTGCCTTGAACATGGCTGCGTCACGTTGTGCTATCAGCTAAGACAGTCTCTGCTGGCTATTGGAAGTCTACTTTAAAGGCAAGAGTCCCATCTGCTGAGAATCCCGTCTGCAGAGGGAGAAAATGAGTGAAGAAGGGAAAAGGGGGAGGACGAAACTAAGTCTTACACCAGTGGATACTGCATGATCCCTCATAATATCTGGCTTAGATTTCCTTTTACACGACCAAATTAAATGTCTTTGTTGCTGAAGCCATTGTTAAATATTCTATAGGGCACAAATGAAAGATTTCCTGATACACTGGATTAAGGTTATATAGACTGATGAGACAAAATACAAAATATTATACAGTTGGTGCTAGATCAATTAACCTAATGATCAACAGATTGATCTTTTACAGTTAGCATGGCTTTGAAGACTGAGAAGGTATATAGTTGGATACAAATGAGAAGAAGCATTCTCTATTAGCCTAAGGCTCATTTTCTCTCCACCATCATCTGCTTCTATTTGGGAAGAATATACTGTGGTACAAAGAAGGAGTATCCCAAGTGGCCCTAGGTATCCCTCAGAGTTGACTGGACAGATGGACTGGGATTTCCTTCTCCCTAGGGTT